AGCTTGTCACAAGACCACCCACCGAACCACCTGTGGGGAAAAATATACGTGCGTTGGTGAAAATATGGAAAAATTTTCGGGAAATTGTTATTGGTTTCTGTACACTTCTACCCGAATTTCTATATAAACTTCTATAATTAATTTGAAAACTCCTGAGCTCAGCTGAGGAAAAGTAACACATTTTCCAACACCGATTTAACAGCAATACTAAGACGGCCCTATAATAGAGGTAATAGAAAACACTATAAAGTAGACTTTTCCGTTGTAGACCCAAATTGCGCGGTTCGATTCCCAGCGGGGACATTTTTTCCCGACAATTATAACTATCACAGATTATATTCTATATTATAGGATAATATAAAATCTAGGCTAACTATGGAGCGAGCGAAGCGAGCGGAGCATATACCGCAACAAGAGGCCTCTTCGCGTTGTGCGTGCGTGCAGAATTACTCTGGCTTAACTACGAAGCGTGGGAGGCTATCAGATAGATCAAACGACTCCCCTATATGCGGAGGTGTTGGGAAAAATCGGAAAACTCGATTATGCGAACAGCTCAAAGAGATATGCACGGAAAACTTTAATGATGGAGAAATGCCCTATCCGGGGATCGAACCGGGGACCTATGTAAAATTCATTGATTGAGTCCATGGACGTGAACTCAGTGAGCTCCGCCCCTTCGTCACGAAGGCCTAGTATAGAATCTATAATCTGTAATATTTCATAGTAATAATAGTAATATTTTCAGTAATATCAATTCATCATTTTTATAATTATTTTCCATTTATTTTTTCGGAAATATTTTTCAATAACATTCACAAACCATGCAAACCTCCCAAACACTGTAAACTTCCGATTTCGATCAACTTCGTTATTTCAATAAATTCACATGCAGTGTTGGAGTAGGAATATATGCTCGCTTTCCTCACCAGAGCCCAGGTATTTTCTGACTCGTTAAGTTTACTCACAAGTTCGGGTAGAGTGTACAAAAAAATCCCCAAAATTTCCTCATAAGTGTGACACTTATGAGGAAATTTTGGTGACACTTAAAGTGTCACCAATACAAGTGGATGACCATGTGCGTATTTTCTCATATGAAATCACGAAAGCGATCAAAAAAACGGCAAACATCTATAAACAAAAAGACTTACACGCCCAAGGTGGGAGCGGTTGAGCTCACAACAGTGAAGAACAGAACTACTGCGATACGTGAAGTGTGAAATATAGCCATACAGTATCTAAGTAGACATGAAGTGTATCTTTCTCGCTCAACCTAAAGATACTCAGCCGGAATCTTCAGCGTGCGTAGAATGCAAATATCAACTTTACATACGCCAAAATCAGCGAAATATTATCCGTGAAAATCCTTTCGAGATTCCGAATCGATTAGAAATGTGTTTTCACTCTGACTTACTGCATAACCCAGTACTGCACACCAGTGACAACAAAGTACAGCGCACAGAGGGCGAACGTCATACAAACGAATCTGAAAAAAACAGAGGGAAAAAATCAGAAAGTTTACATATATTTTGATTAAATTTCGATTTTCCCTATTTCACATACCATGAAAATCACCGTTCGAGACCAATTACCGCGCGCCACAAAATCACCCCGTAACAATTCTCGTTATATAATCGAATCTTCCACCCCCCCCCCCCCTTACAATGGTGATGCTAATAGGCGTTTGAGCTGTGCACAGAAGCCTTTAGGATGATGATGATGATGATGCTTGGCCGAGTCCAACAACCTCTGGCCAGGACCAGGAGAATAAGCTGCCAATATCGATGGTCTCCTACGAGGAGTAAACCCGAAGGATGGCATACGCTGACTGAGAAAATATCAAAATCGATCACCTGATCGATTTCACAAAACCCTCGAAAGGAACCCTTACATGCTTTTGCTGGCAGTTTCCGTGAACTCGTAATGATCCATCGGAACATCGATCAATCTCTTCTTAGTCTGATGCAAGTAGCGCGCGCCCTGGTAATCGATTTAAAGAAGAAGCAACTTACGAATAGGAAGCCTAACAAGATAGGTACAAACAGTACAGCCTGGAGGAAGAAGTTGAATCGCCACGTCAAATACAACGCACCACCGAATCGTGCAACTAGACCAGCTACCTGATCGGTGGAAAAAGCGCTCGCCCTACTAATCGATTTGCCACTGTGATGTTCTCCTACCAAATATCCAAGCATCGCTCCGCCTGCTACTGCGATCTGCACATACCCCATCCATTGAGTTTGGTTGTCATTAGGTGCAAATTCATCAACCCATACAGGGACCTATCATATGTGCCTCATCCTGTGAGGAAATATTGTACACAAGTGTCTCCTGTAATTTTTCATTCTTGTGGTACTTGCCTGAGGCAAGTTGCCTCCCTTGTTAGCCTAGCGTATACTTTATGATTACTGTATTGATCATTAGTTAAGAACCACTTATTTATAACTCTTGTTGAGTTATCTAATCCTAACACATCCGGACCTCAAGATACTCCCCCAAACTTTCATCTACTATGAAATCTTCCGAGTGCGCTTATAGTAAAATCAACAAGATACTTTCCATGTCCGATTCTAACCATGGGCCTCATCCGGACCTCAAGATACTCCCCCAAACTTTTATCTACTATAAAATCTTCCGAGTGCGCTTATAGTAAAATCGATAAGATACTTTCCATGTCCGATTCTGACCATAGGCCTCTTCCGGACCTCAAGATACTCCCCCAAACTTTTATCTACTATAAAATCTTCCGAGTGCGCTTATAGTAAAATCGATAAGATACTTTCCATGTCCGATTCTGACCATAGGCCTCTTCCGGACCTCAAGATACTCCCCCAAACTTTTATCTACTATAAAATCTTCCGAGTGCGCTTATTGTAAAATCGATAAGATTCTTTCCATGTCCGATTCTGACCATGGGCCTCATCCGGACCTCAAGATATCCCCAATCTTACATATATAATCGGGAAGGATTGAGTTATACCCGTCACGAATCGAAACATATATCTACCGGGAAAACACCATCACAGAATGCGCCTTGAAATTAACCCCGTCAACTACACCATCGATTTCGTCTTGCTCACGCTGAAAAATCCCAATGCTAAACTCTCGACAATCAACGACACCTGAAACCGGACATAACAAAATCAGATCGAAAATTTTACAGAAAATTCAGAAAATTTTTTTTCACCCTCGAATTTGAAGATGTTTCATCACATCCTGACAATGTTGGAAAATATGCACAAAGTCAACTGCATGTGTCGGTGACAATACGAAAATTCTGAAAAATTTCTTATTAATTTCTGAACACTTCTACCCGAATTCGTATATATTCTCCTACATTTTAGTGAGGAAACTCCTGAGCTCAGGTGGTGAGGAAAGCGATTACATATATTCCTACTCCAACACTGTATAGGAAACTCCTGAGCTCAGGTGTTGAGGAAAGCGATTACATATATTCCTACTCCAACACTGTATAGGAAACTCCTGAGCTCAGGTGTTGAGGAAAGCGATTACATATATTCCTACTCCAACACTGTATAGGAAACTCCTGAGCTCAGGTGCTGAGGAAAGCGATTACATATATTCCTACTCCAACACTGTATAGGAAACTCCTGAGCTCAGATGAGGAAAGCGATTACATATATTCCTACTCCAACACTGTATAGGAAACTCTTCTGAGCTCAGGTGGTGAGGAAAGCGATTACATATATTCCTACCCCAACACTGTATAGGAAACTCCTGAGCTCAGATGAGGAAAACGAACATATATTCCTACTCCAACACTGTATAGGAAACTCCTGAGCTCAGCTGAGGAAAGCGATTACATATATTCCTACTCCAACACTGTATAGGAAACTCCTCCTGAGCTCAGGTGCTGAGGAAAGCGATTACATATATTCCTACTCCAACACTGTATAGGAAACTCCTCCTGAGCTCAGGTGCTGAGGAAAGCGATTACATATATTCCTACTCCAACACTGTATAGGAAACTCCTGAGCTCAGGTGCTGAGGAAAGCGATTACATATATTCCTACTCCAACACTGTATAGGAAACTCCTGAGCTCAGGTGAGGGAAGCGATTACATATATTCCTACTCCAACACTGTATAGGAAACTCCTGAGCTCAGGTGAGGAAAGCGATTACATATATTCCTACTCCAACACTGTATAGGAAACTCCTGAGCTCAGGTGAGGAAAGGGATTACATATATTCCTACTCCAACACTGTATAAAAACTCCTGAGCTCAGGTGAGGAAAGCGATTACATATATTCCTACTCCAGCACTGTGTAGGAAACTCCTGAGCTCAGCAGCTGAGGAAAGCGATTACATATATTCCTACTCCAACACTGTATAGGAAACTCCTGAGCTCAGGTGCTGAGGAAAGCGATTACATATATTCCTACTCCAACACTGTATAGGAAACTCCTGAGCTCAGGTGCTGAGGAAAGCGAATACATATATTCCTACTCCAACACTGTATAGGAAACTCCTGAGCTCAGGTGCTGAGGAAAGCGAATACATATATTCCTACTCCAACACTCCCGCCCCATCGTACCGTAACAATCACTTTAGGTGAATATTTTTGAAATAAATATCCGGCAACTGGCGATGCTACCGTAAGTCCGGCAAATACTAATGCTCCTAATAGCGACTAAAAGGACATCATAAAACAACCAACCCTTCAACAACAAAAATTAGCGGTATTTCCGCAAGTGAAAAATTTTTACTGGGATATTTTTTTCCGATTTTTCGGTAAATAATAACCAAATTTTCCACTTTTCCGATTTTTCGGTAAATAATAGCCAAATTTCCCACTTTTCCGATTTTTCGGTGAATAATAGCCAAATTTCCCACTTTTCCGATTTTCAAATCATCATTCCAACTGCAATCCCAAGTGATATCCAA